AGTGATTTTAGGAACATAACTAATGCTAAAGAGAATATTTTGATGGATGAATATCAAAAGTATTAAGTCAGAGAGAGAAACATTAAAAAAGCCCAATAATTTTGTATGTATAAGGGATATGTTCATTATTTACATTATTTGGACTATTGTCCTCATCTTTATCGTCATATTTATTACAACATTTTGGCCGTTGTACGTTCCGGCCTTCTTCAGGTGGTTAGAATGTTGAATCAAACCCTTTATTTCACTCACTGGGGTAGACTGTTAGTGAAATAAAAGGTTCAGTTTGACATTCCAACCACCTGAAGAAGGCTGGAGCGTACAACAGCTGAAACGTAATAAATATGGCGACAAAAGATGAGGACAATAGTCAGAATAATGTAAATAATGTACATGATACCTCTTCTCAGAAATATAGACAGATACTGAAGGGACATGTTGTTTGTGGAATATTAAAATTATTTTCATACTATAATCAACAAATAGTAGTAATAAGCTCTTGTTCCTGCTAATTTCCTTTAGCTATAATTTTTGGAAGTCTTTCAAGGAATAATTTAAAAGTATTTTTAAACCATGTCAAAACGTGTACATAATTCTTTAAAGACTATAGTAAACAAAACTAACAGAAAAAGTAAGATTTTATTTTTTCAATTTTTGAGTGTAGCCAATTTAAGTGTTTTTAATTAAATGGAAAAGTTTACTTCTTGATCTTATACATTTTTTTTAAAAACATTTATACAAAAATGCAGCAAAGAAAGGTAAAAGAAAAATATGAAAATTAACAATTTTCAGGAAGTCCCTCTTTAGTGATAAATGCTTCTTGGGTGATCATGTCACCCTTTTTTTTAAATTTTTTTTTATTCATGATTGATTTGGCAGAAGATTTTCTGCAGTAGACTTCCATTACTTTCTGTGGTAGACTGGCTGCTAACCAAGGCTACAGGATCCAGTCTGTCTATTTAACTCATAGCTGGGGTGAAGAGATGGATTCATTCCTTTCCCAAGGGTATTTTGAAGTCACACAAAGTTAAAAATTGTAACATTCAATTAACATCCTGTGATACCATAACTTTAGGAAGTTAATTTCAGTATTTAACATGTGTTTTAACCTGACAATAAAGAATTGATCTCTACATTGACCTACAATTTAAGAAACATAACACATTACTGACTACTGAGACCAGCAAAATTCAAAAGGAAATTGAACTTTTACGGGATTTCCTTTTATGCAAGATTCCTTGCTAGGAATTTGTAAAAATCACGTTATTAAAAATTGCTGACCCGGAAACAATTACGGCATAGATTTACACAAGATTGTCAATCCAATCAAATTAATTGTTAAAACGTTAAAATCAGCGAAGTGATATAGTCCTATAGAGAAAGAAATAACATGCAATATTATTTAAGTGGGCGCGCTAACCTGGGAGCAACAAATAAACATTAAAAATAAAATTAAATGCTTAGCCATTTATATCCAAATTAATAAAATAGTACACGTTTAAAAAAAAAAGGATGCTATATATATATATATATATATATATATATATATATATCTCAAACATTAGGTTATTTTACTCCTTAACGTTGGAAAGGAAGAGGAGGAAGGAGAGCGAATAAAGAACAAGGGACATAACCTCGCCGTGGAGAAAATAGAATTTTAATGGGAGAAAAACAAAAAATAAGTATTTTCTTATAAAAAATAAATAAATGTTGAAAAAATATAAATAAGTGAATAAATAAAACACCCATCTCTTCCTTAATTTGAATTTTAGTGTTACAAGTTAATCGAAAGAAATAAAGCGTGTCTGTTCGTTTGTGAGTAGTATCAGTTAATATATGCAACACTATGGAGAAAGAAGCTATCCTATTTGTGGATTTGTAGGCTAAACTATGCAAAGTACTTATAGACACACAGAAAACGTTCTTAAAGAAATATGAATCCTCAACTTCGGAAATGACCAACAAACAATTACACAATATGCTTTTGAAGATTTATACCTTTGAATAATCAGATAAAAAGTATTATTAATCTTTGAGATAAATTATAATGATTAAAATAAATGAAATTGAAATGGAAACATTCATTTTTCTATGAAATTGTTTAAAAATCAAGATTAATGCATCTCTTAAAAAAGAACACTGAGAACAAATTCTTGGTCTAAGTTGTTTTAAATGAAATTATTGGTAGGGCTTGACAACCATACTCTGATGAGTGATGCAAAATAATCTATTCGAAAGGAGAGGAGAATATTGTAGTAGTAGCAGCCAGCCAGCCATATTCCTTCCTTCAATATATTTGTTGAGGTGTATACTGCATCATTATTATTACTAGAGGGTGTGTACTCTACTATAAAAATGTACTTGACTTTATGTGCAGATGATGGTCATTGGTTAGCTAAATTAGTTAAATAGGTAGGTAGGTAGTTCTGGTAGATTTTTTGGTCTTGAGCTTTATTTCCTCAATGTGCAGATTAAATATTATTTCTACTGATTGAATTTTTAAGAAAATGTTCTTTGTTATTTCTAGATAAAATGAAAAGGCACAAAAAAGAGGGATCACTTTCAAAATTAAATCGGCCACGATCTACTGTACTTTTTCTTAAAAAATAAATAAAACCATAATTCAACTATTCTATTTAAAAAACAAAACAAATCTTTCCGTTGACAAACTGTGATTTTTCATTTTAAATTATTTTAACAGTGGAATCGATCAAACAAGATCAATTAAGGTCTCACAGAACACAAAACAATGACGTTATTTTAAATTTTTAATTTGATTTTAGATTTGTGGAAGATGAGGGATGATATTTTTTCATGAAGGTAACTGAACCTCGTGTTAAAACAGTGGAAAAAAAATGATAAGAAAAGATCATATAAATATAAATAAATAAATACGTTGTCGTATACACATTTATATAATAAAAATCAAGTATATATTTTTTGAAAGAAGTGATGGATTTTTTTAAAAATCTGCAACTATTATTGATTGTTTTTAAACTTGTTTAGTTTCCAGATTGGAACTTTTTCATCTCAAAGAAATTTAGAATTTGTTTTACAACCAGAGATGAGTAAATTAGCAGTGATACTAGCATGGAGACAAGACTTTTTGTGAATAAAAGCGTGTTTAATGATGAGAGAATTGGGAGGGAAAAAAAAAGCAATGAACTCCATGTCAATATGACCACATAAGACAAACAGTAGTACAGTACACTGAAACAGGCAAGGATTGAGTTCTTTTACTTTTTTATAGTACTTACTTACATATCCCAGTTTCTGCTAAATTCCTTTTGGTCAAATATTATTATAATCATAACAGATGTGGATATTTTAATTAATAATAATCTTTTCCTCAGTATTTAAAGCACGTAATTAAATCAATGAAAAAATTGAAAAGAATATATTTATTTTTCATAATTTAAGAAATTTTTAAATGTCTTTGATTTAGTGGAAAAATTGTATGAGAGGTGCTGAAAAGTTTTCAGCTGAAACCATAGGGTATAAGGGCTTGTTGGTCGAGCCGAGAACTTTTCAACACCCCGTGTAATTCGAAATATTTTACAATAATAGTACTATTTTTATAAAAACAAATTTCAAACATTTGACAATAGTAGTAAAATGAAAGATCTGAGGTATACATACGCAGATGTAAATATGTAATTATTTTTCATATTGCCATTAAAATGAAAATGCAACCGAGAGAAAATTAACAATACAAAATTTAAATTTCTGGCAATGAATGATAAACAAACAATAACAGTGGTGGTGAAATATTTTGTTACCATAATTTTATAAATATGATTAAAGGGGAGTGTTTTTTTATTGTTTTAAATTAGTAGAAATTGCAAAATAATTGAATATTACACATGCAATATTTTTGGGGAAAAGATGGCATCATTTATTTTACATTTTAATTTAATATTCAAATTTATGTAATAATAAAAAATATATCAGTTTCACATGTAACCTGATTCATTGCTGGGGAAATAAAATTTAAGGGATTTTTCTTAAATTTAAAATAGAATTAAATAATTATATAGAAATTAATAATATTTATCTTAAAAATATAATGAAAAAAGGTAGGGAGTAAAAACGCCATATAAGAAAAAATCAGGTCATTTCAAATTGATTAAGGTCAGATCTAAATTTTTACTACTCTAGAACATTCGTTTAATTCGGTCAACAAGACCTTTCCTTAGGGATCTTTTAATAATTTTAGATAAATAAAGTTATAAGAAAAATATTGCATAAAATAACAGATCTGTAATTGCATCCAGACTGTGGTACGTGAATGCAATCAAACAAAGCCTATCATTTTAAAGGCTACAAAGTTCTTGTTTTTGCTTTATCTTATTTACTATACAGGGAAATGAAACACCACCAAACAAGGCAATTTACACGTGGGACTGCAAGCATACAAGTGAGTTTAATATAGAATATAATAAACTCAAGACTTCAGTGATAGAGAAATAGAAAAAAAAAACAACGATCGAATTAAAAAATCGAGAGAAAAAAGCGAATTATTTGTAATGAAGTCAAGATCTAATATGGCTACTTTAGCTGTATGCTCTTGACTACTATCAACATTATAGCGGGAGAAATGTTTTACACTGATAGAAAAGGGTATCTCAATTATTTTTCTTTTAAAAATCGCTGGCCAGAAATTATTACAGACACAAGACACAGAAGAAAGGAAACTAAATCAGATCCTTTAAGAACCGAATAATAACGTTGAAAGCGTCGAGTGTGTCTCTAATATTCAGAGATTGTAATGGCCTCGCGAGGAAACAGCAATGGCTGTCAAGGCGTTAGTGAGAATATTATCAACACGATTTGATTTAAACATTTAAAAAAAATAATGCAAACAAAAATATGCTTAAATTCACAAAAATACACAACAAAAACAACGTGGATAGTGGAACAAGTTTAAATCTACAAACATGGACACTTTATAAACACAGAAAAAGAAAACAGAGGCTAAAAGAATAAAAGTAATACTTTACCTAGTCTACTTAGGGCGATGATATTCCTTTGGTAAAGCTTTATCTCATCAACTGTAACCGGCTTTACGAACGATCTATGTGCTAGTGAATTAAATTAGACAATATTTTACTTCCAGGCTCAATAGTGAAAGTGACAAAGGATCCGTTGTATGTTTATTTACACCGTCTGTTATTGTAGGAATTCACGATAAACGATCGGTTCAAGAGATCCGTCTAAATTGCAGACTTTTTCCTTTTTGTGTAAGTAGATAAAGCTTCCTCAGAGCACCGTTGTTCATATTACCCTTCATTCCAACTACCCTAAAATTTTCACGCTTAATTTTGTGTATTACAATATACAATGTTTACTTGGATGTCGAACGGAAGATTACTATACTAAGGCCACCATTATGGCTGCCATTATAAATATGTGTTCTACGGGGATCCGTCGTTGTGTACAAGCGGGTCCCGCAACTTTAGATGACGTCACTGAAATAAGGTTCGACCTAATTCTCAAAATTTTCATACTTTTAAGAAAAAATGTATAAAATAGATTTACATATTCACTATTAAGATTTATTTAATGTTAAAATCAAAAAAAGAAAGTTTTGTAAATTTTTGGCAGCTTTCATCGTAGACGTCGTCTGCTTCCGTAGAGCGCATGCGCCGGTATTATTATGGCAAGCTCAGTTTTCATTTAGTGTAGATTGGAGCAACTGTGCTAGAAACAACACAACAGGCCAACATAGCAACACCGCTAGCGGCCGACGGCGATTTGATTTGAATCAAGTGCATATCTAATATGCTCGATCCATCGTCCAGTGAAGAGGAATCAGAAAATGAGCCCATCGAAGATGAGAATTCGGACGTTCTCAGCGTACCAAGCGCCGAACGAAGCTTATCAGCTAGCGGGGATAACTTGAGTGTTCAGAGCAGCCGTGCAAATACCAGCCAGGTCAGACCATCCAGCCCGAGTCCTTCTCTGATCAGTGAACGGGAAAAAAGCGAAGATGTCGACAAAAGCGATGCAAAGTCGGAAGAGGAACGAAAACGTAGGTTGCAGCTTTATGTGTTCGTCATGCGATGCATCGCGTACCCGTTCAACGCGAAACAGCCAACCGACATGGCCAGGCGACAGACGAAGATCACGAAACAACAACTACAGACCATCAAGGAAAGGTTCAATGCCTTTCTGGTCGGCGAAACAAACATCGTGGCCGACGAGGCTTTCACGAATGCCGTGCAAAGTTACTACGAGGTTTTCGTCAAGAGTGACCGGGTTCTGGCCATGGTGAAAAGTGGAGGTTCGTCGGCCAACGATTTCAGGGAAGTGTTCAAGAACAACATCGAGAAACGGGTGAGGAGTTTACCAGAAATTGATGGCTTGAGCAAGGAGACTGTCCTCAGTTCGTGGATGACCAAATACGATGCCATATTTCGGGGTGAAGAAGACCCCAGGAAGCATCCGCAGAGAGGAGGAACCACGGCAGCCTCTGAACTTATTCTTAGTAAAGAGCAACTTTATGATATGTTTCAGAATATATTAAACGTCAAGAAATATGAACATCAGATATTATACAATGCATGTCAGGTGAGTAATAAAAACAGCTATATATCATGATCACTAGTGAACTTTTAAAAAAAAAATTTGTTAGTATTTTGGGGAAAAATATAGACAAGTTGTTAGCGATGTTGAAAAATGAATGAAAAGTTCTCTGCGTAAAAAAAATAATAGTGGAAATATATTGGCGGGATCGATAAAATTGTAATATTACTAATTAGGAAGAAGACTGATAAAGTTAGTCTTTAATTATTTTAAAACTAATAAAACAGTACAAAATAGTTAAAACAATAAATTAAAATAATTTGATAAGTAGTCGTACGAAAATTGTCAAGCGAGAAATAATAGGTGTTGCTGTTGATTTTTATTTACTTTCACTTTTCATTCCATAAAAAAAAAGATTTTTCAATGTAATTTTTTTAAAATTAATGCAGAAGAAATTATAAACGACTTTCTTTAAAAGAAGAAAAATATCTATTTTCTTTTTTTATTTTTTTCATGTGCATAAAAGTGGAAAATTGATTTTTTTTTTTTTTTTAAATTTAAGAAAAAAAAGAAAATCATTTTTTTTCTTTGATCGACATGAGATTAGAAAAAAAGTCAAATGAAGCATAAAAAAATATAGAAGTGAAATGTATTTTTTTTTTTTAAATAAAGAAAAAATATCTTATTCGTTTTACAAATAAAGTAGTAAATGTACGTTGTTGTACAAATACAAACTCACAATCCAAAACTGATGAGTCAAAAAAAAAAAAAAAAAAATTAAGGGAATGAAAGAAATTCTTACATTTTTTTTTTTTAACCATCTCAAAATATTTCCTCATCAAGCAACAATTATTTTTTTGCCATTTGACTATAATCAAATTGTGTATGTGCGTGAGGGAGTTTTAAATTTAAAATCGACCAAAATCCTGATTTTTTTTTTTTTTTTTTCTAGTGGCTATAAAAAAATAAACCATAGTAAGTAATCTACCAAGAATGGTGCATTGAAAAAAAAAAAAAAACATTTAAAAAAAAATCGAATCTCGATGTATTGTAGAAGCTAGTGAGTGAGTGGATGATTCAATACACTGTAGTGTTGTATCTATTTTGACACTGATTGTCAAAATAGGCATATTAAACAAATTTTGGTAGGTTGGAATTAATTTTATAATTTCATCTGAATAAACAGATTCTCTCTTACAAAAATTAAAAAACAATATTTTTAATTCCTATTATTACTAAGTTTGGTACGGTCCTTAATGTGTCAAATTTAGATTTCTAGTTTTTTACAGATCAAAACGAAAAAAAAAAATCTATACTAGAGAGACTGTTGTCAGGTGTGAGAATAAATCTAAATCCGATTTAAATGAAATATTAAAATTAAAAATAATCAGTAGTTTAACAAAAAACTAAATTCAAATTAGTAATAATCGCGAAGAATCACTTTTCTCGATCGATGATTATTATCATTATTTCTGTAAAAATACGCAGATTTCAAGGGAAAAAATGAAAAAAAAAGCAGATTTGTTGTCTTTTTCTTTAAGTGCTACTGTTTAAGACTGACTGCTTTATTATTTCCTAGTGATACTGACAAGATTCGAAACAGCCATGTTCTTTTCAATTTCATTCATTACTTAATGTCATCATTTCGTTATTTTACAACTTTTAATGAATGATTATTATTCTTCCAAAATCTTTATATTCTCACTGTTAGTCGTAACTTGATTTTGTTTCTTTGTAAGTAACTAGTTCTGATGAACAACAACACGCCCATTGATAATAATTCTTAGAAAACCCTATTTTTTTTCTAATGTTATTTTTTAAATGTTTTACAATGAATAGTAGTATTGATTGATGAATTATTATTTTCGCCTTCTTTACATCATCATAGAATATTTATTATTACACGACACAGGTCATATTCATGACTTTTTATTTATTAGTTTATCAAGAAGTGTTAATTTTTACATGTAATATTCATTAATCATTTAATTTTTGTTTATCCGGTAACAACAACATTCAACAAATGCTGTTTTTCCAGTATGAATATTAATGACATTCAAGAGAGAATTATTTCTTAAAAAAAAAAAAGAAAGAAAAAAAAAGAAAAGTATAATAACCCATGTGGGTGTGCAAACGCATCTTTGGATGCATTGCACACTTCTCACTCAGCATCTTTCAATGTCATCTACATCAATATCAACTTTGATTAAACAATATATAAAAAGAAAAGTTCTTTTCATTCAGATAGACGAGAGAAGTCAAATTCATCTTCAGATTTTTTTAATTTCATTGTTAAGATTTTAAGAATTTATGTTAATTTCTTTAAAAAAAACTTTCCAAGCTCTTCTTTTTTTTTCTTTTTTTTTTTTAAGACAATGCACCACTCTTCATTCGATTTTATTTTTATTTTCAAGTAATGCCGTTTAAAAATATGATTTTGATATTTTTTTTCATCATGCCTGATGACGAAAAAACCTAATTTTAAAAAGTGACAACATTCATTCCGAGAGCGTAGAAAACGATGACATGCAACAGACATTTAAAAAAAAATCATGACAAATAAATTCTGTCAAAAGTTTTAAATAAAGCACATAAAAAACTAATATAAATATTAAATACTGTCTATTTCAATTGATACCGAAGTTGGGGTCTGCCTTGTTCATATTTTGCTACAATTACTGCTAAAGAAAAAAAAACAAGAATATATCTTTATTTTTTGTCTTTTTCTATAGCAAATATTATTGGCTTCATTTTCTTCTATCGCTCTTTCTCCTTCTTCTATCGCTCTTTCTCCTTCTTCTATCGCTCTTTCTCCTTCTTCTATCGCTCTTTCTCCTTCTTCTATCGCTCTTTCTCCTTCTTCTATCGCTCTTTCTCCTTCTTCTATCGCTCTTTCTCCTTCTTCTATCGCTCTTTTCTCCTTCTTCTATCGCTCTTTCTCCTTCTTCTATCGCTCTTTCTCCTTCTTCTATCGCTCTTTCTCCTTCTTCTATCGCTCTTTCTCCTTCTTCTATCGCTCTTTCTCCTTCTTCTATCGCTCTTTCTCCTTCTTCTATCGCTCTTTCTCCTTCTTCTATCCTTTCTCCTTCTTATCGCTCTTTCTCCTTCTTCTATCGCTCTTTCTCCTTCTTCTATCGCTCTTTCTCCTTCTTCTATCGCTCTTTCTCCTTCTTCTATCGCTCTTTCTCCTTCTTCTATCGCTCTTTCTCGACCATTTTTTACCTCTCATCTTCGTTTCTTCCTCTTAAATCCATAATCTAAAAAAAATGTTGCTGTACCCCCCCCCCACTTATCAGCTTTTTTCTTTCTTTCTAATCAAACTTCTCTTCTTACACAACTTGCAGTTTTATTTTAATTTTATTGCAAGCATTTTAAAAGCACAGCACTTTACAAGGTTATCCATCGGGGTTGCCTTTTTTATCCTTCTTTTTTTAATTAGTTCTCTCTTTCCAGGATTATGAAATTAATGATTAATTTTTTTTTCTTTTTCTTTATTCTTTAAGCTAGATTGTCATGCGGCAAACGGCTAAAATCACTTTCATTTTTACTTAAAAAAAAAAAAAAGTTTCATTTGATATCTGATGGGTTTTATTTGCGAATAATGAATAATGCATTTTAAATTTTACATGATTCGACAATCTTTGAGTCTTAGGTGTTTAGGGAGCACTACATTTTTTTTTTCTTATATGATTGAAAAATGTAATCCAAGAAGTAGAAGTGCGTTGTTGAGGTTTCATTAAATGACTTCATTCAATTTTAAATCGTTAATCCTCTTATTCGCTTTTCCTCTTTTTTTTTTTTTTTTTTTAAAAAAATAATATAATTTTAATTTTTAAGACCCTGAATGAATGTACATCACATTGTTGTCAATGTTAATCATTATTCATTAATGTTCCTTTCTCATGAGAACACCGGTTTAATTCTAATTTATTTATGTTAAAATATTTGATTTTTAATTGTAGAAACCTACTACTAACCATTATTATTATTATTTATTTTTTCTACGTAGGATTTTTGAGAAAAGCATAAAGTAAAGAGAATTTTTTTTCATTCATAACAAAAAAATTAATGTTGAGCCAACAATTGGATCGAATCGAAGTTTAACGTTAATTGTTAGTAGTCGTAATACTTAAATTCACATTGTTTTTACTTATTTATTATTTCCTTAAAAAATGATTTAAACTCGTAGTTGTCCTTCAGTTTTTCTTTTAAACAAATCTGTACCAAGCTCAACACTACGTTTACGATAGAAATTAATTTTTAGGAGGTAACAGGTCTAAAAAAAAATGATGCTCAGTACTTTCCATGTTATTATTGACTCGTCACGTTAACTTAAATTATCAAGAAAATAATTGATATTTCATTTTGTGCTAAGACTACAGTACACTAGGGTTTGCTTTGGTAGTAATAGTCATCTGTTTAGTAATACTGTAATTAACCTTCAACTTCGAGAAGAAACTTAGTGTTCATGATTCTTTTGAAATCGTCTTTTTAAAAATAATTTTCTACGTGTTGTGAATAAAGAAAAGGATGGAGTTTTTTTTTTTAACTTGTTTTCTCTTTCAAGAATCGAGAGGCTTGCAATTTTCTCACCTTTTTTTTAGCCTTCTTATTCTTGTCTTAATCATTTTAGGTCTCTTTTTTAGGGAGACAACTTGTACTTAAGTAGTTTCGTAATAATGATTGATCAGTTTCCGCATTTATTTCTTACTGACTCCTATGTACTGTAACGTAAAAAAAAGGAAGAAAAAAAAACTGCGTGTGTGTCCTTTCTAGGAAGTCGATTCAGTTAAAACTGGGGAAAAACATTTTTTTTTATTCAAACTTATACATACATGCATAACTTGATAAAAAAACAAACATTCTTTTGAATGTATTGTAAAAATTAGGTTCTTTTTTTTTTGTAAAAAGAAGACATCTTTTTGTGGAGTTCGTTTTTAAGAAAAAGAAAATTAAAATGTGGTATCCAATTTTATTCGAGTTCTTTCACCTACTTTCCTATTAACTATAAGTTCTATTGCTCGCATCAGTGTTGTTACTACTACTGTTATTTACTAAAGTAGTAGTACTATTTACTCGTACTAACTTTACCCTCCACATCTGACACGACTTAACTTCTGATAAACTCGTTTAAAAAAATTTACCAGAATCAATTCATTTTTTATCTCGTTAAATTTTAGATAAATTATGGAGTAGAAAAATATAATCATAGTGTTCGTTTAATTAAAGCATGAAATCATTTTAAATCACATACATTATCACTTATTTTTAACACTGCTGCTGCTATAGACTGCAACGATAATTCATTTCTCTGTCCACAACAACGGCTTCTTTCTCAAAAATGATTTTTCAGTTGCAAAGCTCAGGCCTTCATTATGAATTCAAGTCAATAATGAATGTTTTAAAAGCCTATCTATTGACTTGATGAACTATTTCATAATGATACGTGGTCAAGTCATCATCACGCCATATATCAATCAATGTTTGTTATGCATCTGTACCAGTCTTCCCACTCCCAAGTTCCATGACCGACCGCCCACGACATATCAGTGTTACTTCCACCCCCACTTTATTCTTTTAGTAGTAGTAGTAGTAATCATTATTTAAATAAATACCCCCCCCCATTCTTTAAACAGGCACTTTAGCTGGTCCACTCAGAAAAAAAAAATAGGGATTTTTTTTTTTTTTATTTTTTTTTTTAAAGAAATAATTTTTGTAAATTAGAATTCTTTAGACCACGATACTTATATAGGCAAATATTGATTTGTTATAGATTTAGAAGGGGGGGATCCTGTTCATAATATCGATACCAACTCAAATCGATCCCTGACTTTTACAGAGTTATTGGCCTTAGGCTAAAAGTCACTTAGCTGTTATTTACAAAAAAATGTCAAGTTTGAAAATGTGCTAAAAACAATGCATATTTTCTTAAATTTTTTGAATTTTTTTTTCTTTTAGGCACATCCACAATTGGGGTTCATCTTAAATTACAAATAAACGAATATTTTGTTTTATTATGTAAGTTTTTTTTTTTTTTTTTTTTAAATTAACTATCATTTCTTTTTTACTTTTTTTGTTTTTTTTTTAACTTTGCCTAAAAAAAAACGTCTGTTTTCGTAAGCAAAGTTTAATAATTCCGTAAAAGTCAGAGATCGATTGGACACTGTGTATCGATATTATGAAAACAGGACCCCCTTAATATTCTAAATTGATAACAAATCAGTATTTTTTTTTTTTTTTTTTTCAATTCTGACAAGGAAAGTAAGGATTGCTAGTCTAAAAGTTATTTCCTAAAATTAGACAAAACTAAATTTAATTTTTTCCCCTATTTTTTATGAGTAGACCTCCTTTTTAAAGACAAAAATAAAATTTTCTTCCTACCAATTCTCTTATTTTTTCTGTGTTAAATTTGCTTATAATTAAGTTCGTTGTTTTAAAAAAATTAAAAAAAAAAAAAAGCGAGGCGGTGAGTAAGTTTTGTTTTTTTTAAAAAATAATAAATTCTTAGTATTTTTACCATTCAATTTATTTTTGGTGCAATGGAGTGATGCGACATCCATATTATGTCCCCCCCCGCCTCTCTCTCTCTCACCCAAACACTGAAAAGTCAAAATCATCGAATTTATAAAGTTGCCCCCCCCCCATGTTATTTGGGGGGGGGGGGCAATTGATGCGGTCTCGTGTAGATTGATTCCAAATTAGCAAAAGTAAAAAAAAAAAAAAAAAAAAAAACGTAGTAACAGACCCTTATTTTTCACAACCCACGACTAACATTATTCTTAAAATTGTAAAAATTACTACCATTTACATACAACATTAACTAGAGGCAACTTAACAAGGACCATAATTGTTCTTTTTTTTCTCTCTCTCTCTTTCTTTCCCACTCTTTTAAAGTCTTAGTTAAGTAAGTACTACTTTTTAGTTCACCTTTCCTTAGTTTCTTTAACATTTTTACAGTAAAAACTGGAATTTGGGATATAATATATACCCAACTATTGAGTATTATTTGTTGAATGAGCCTACAGGTCACTTGAGACAAAAAAAAAGTTATGTTGCTTGATTTACTTTTTTTTTTTTTTTTTTTTTTAACATAACAGTGGTTTTGGCACCAGATAGGAAATTGGTGGAAAAGAAACTAAATAAAAAAGTGTGTGTAGGTGATTTCATTTTTTTTTTTTTTTTTTTTTTTTTTTTTAAATTAAAATATTTTTTTTTTTTAAGACAGATTTAAAAAAGTGGAAAGAAAGACAGACATTGCCCTAAAAATTAAAAAAAAAAAAAAAGTAAAAATAAAACTAATCACGCAGCACTTATTTCGATTAAGGAGCGTTTTACTTATGTAAATAAATTAAAAACTGTCTTAGTTGGCAAGAATATAAGTGGCGGATGGCTATAAAAAAAGTCATTGTTGATTATTTACTAATTTTTTTTAATTAATGCACTGACTATATAGTTTGCATCATGTAGCAATAATTGTAAGTAAAAATTATGCACTAAAATAAGTAATCAAGTAATCGTTTTAAGTTCTCTGAATATCGCTGCCAAAAATGAAATACAAATATTGTTCAATAAAAGCTGTCCTTCCTCAGGTTTTTTTTATTTTATTTTATCAAAATCATCAGGGTTATTCAAATATTCTATTCATGGCTTTCATTTTAAAATGGTAAAAAAGACGATTATTAGATGGATTCACCTTTTAAAACGTTTAAGAAGCTATTTTTACTTAAAGGTCAATTTCGAGCAGTGTTTATCACAGAAAAAAAATTAGTACTATTTTGAGTAAGGTATTTTATATAAAGAAATCTCCAACACAATGATTTTAATTTTTTTTCTGCCTGTTTGTTCATTAGAATACAATCGTCATCATATGAAAAAATTGCAGATTCTTTCAAAGAAAAATAAAATTAAAAATTTCTTTTATTCTGCTTGTTCACAAAACTAAAACATAATCTCTTCACTACAATGTTGTATTCACTCAGTTTTAAAATGTCACCAGTTAAAACAAACTGGCAATTTTATGACATAAAGGATGAAGGTGTCTCTGAAAAACAAGTAGTTAATCAATATTTGCTTAACAAACTAGTCATTGGTGATTTTGTTAAATATCTTGATGTTTATTCACATCATCCTTGGAATAGGATGTGTGAGATTTTATTTATATATTCACATATATAAAATGGATTTTAACCAATCCATTTTTATTTTCTTTGTAGCTGATTGGTTAAAAATACGTCGGATCAAACAACAA